CGAATTGTCCGTGCGACGAATTGTCCTGCAACGAATTGTCTTGCAACGAATTGTCCATGCGACGAATTGTCCGCAACGAATTGTCCGCGACGAATTGTCCTGCAACGAATTGTCCGGTCACCTACGTATTACGATTAAACAACAAACTGTTTCAATAATAGGTTTAGATCTTAATCAAGATATTGCTTATACACTTTTTTCAACAGTAAGAATACTTATAAAACAAAATACTCAAAGAATATATGATTCAAAACTAATCAAGGGTGAAGAACCAATCGAACATAAAATACACATAAATCAACCAAATGAGAATATGAATTTATATATTGAATTAAATTGGCAAGAACATTACAATGAACCAATGTATACAATCAACATACCATTTGTCGATTCAATGAAAGAAATACATTTATTTTATAATCCAAAGACTGGCAGTTGGAGAGAAGAATAATAGATGTGCAATTGGTTTTTGTATTTAAAATACGCTGTTTTTTTGTTATGAATGTAATCTCGCAATCAAAACTCGTACTTGTATTGTTAAATATCCTGTTGTTTCTGTTATTAATGTAATCTCGCGATATAAAATGGTTTTATTTTATATTGAAAATCGAGCTTTTTATATTATTTAATAAATGCATATTATTTTTGAATGAACAATTATTAATGATCTCTGTTTTCTTATATTTCTAGACCGAATTATTTTATTTATTCATTTACTTGTTTTGTTTTCAATATTTATTTATTTTTTTCAAAACAAAAATTCCTCCGTTTAGGAGGCAAAATACATATTGATTGATATTAAAATGGGATCTAACTCATCACAACCACCAGCAGAATTAAGTGAAGAAGACGTAGAATTTATTTCAAGTAAAGCTAAAATTGATCATGAAAGTGTTCGAGTTTGGTATGAAAAACTGAAGGTTTGTCTTGGTTTTATTTTGATTTATTCATAATTTTGATGAATTTCAATTCTTAGGCTGCTTGTCCAAATGGGAAAATTTCTAAGGCAGATACAGTAAGTTTCTTACGAAGTATTAATAGTGGGAAAGAAGAACAAATTGAAAAACAAGCAAGCGATATTCATAAAGCATTTGACGCAAACAATGATGGCATTGTTGGTATGTGCTAAGTTTTGATTGAATAAATGATTTGATAATACTTTCTGAGCGCTTCAAAATGGTATGAAAATATTAAGAAAAGAATTCTGATCATGCAAAGACATTCCCAGAGTCTATTTTTGAGACATGATTTTATGTTTTTTTTTCCTGATCTGATATTTAGTAGTTTTCGATTAGAAAAATGTGATTTGCATAAAAACTAATATGATATTCTGCATAAATGTCTGAAACTGAGTGAATTTATGTGTATTTTAAAACTTTTGAAATCTTATTTTTCCTCTAGACATTCATCCCTGATCCTCCTCAGGGTTGAATCAAAAAATATATTTTAGCGAAAAGTTATTTTGACCCTACAAACAACAGATGAATCAATCATAAAAACAGAGTTTTGATGCAATTCATTTTTTAAACTCAACACAATCCCGAAGGATCAGGGATGAATTTTTCGACGAATAACAAAAGATTCCGAAAATTTTTGAAATATGCACAACCCCATTGAATTTTCGATGATGGTTCATAATATCATAGTAGTTTTTATTCAATTATATTTTTCTAAATAAAACTTTCTAAATATGAAGCAAAGCAATTATAACATTGTATCTCAAGAATAATCTCCTTAGGATCTCTCTGTGTGGTCAATAGTTTTTCTTCAATGCATTCATACCATTTTGAAGCTCTCAAAAATTACTATAGAACAACATGAAACGTAGCTCGACTGGCAATGAGATTGGTTGATATTGGCATAGATTTTCAGTAAGCTCTACAAATATTCCAACATATCAGGGCAATGTAGTCCATGAAAAGATACACCGACCACTGTTTCTTTCCTTAATGTTTTATACCATTTGGAATTGCTTGAAGAGTTTTATCGAAACATGAAAATAGGATGGTTGTTTATGAGATGATAGATAAAAAAAAGTGTTGATTGCATTCAACAGTTAGGTTCAATGCACATGTGTAATGGTCATTGACTATTTCAATCGATCTGTTCACAGCATAAATAAGAGCTATCGAACATCTTATGGAATAGTTTGATATAGAAGAAATCAAATTTCTTGAGGCAACCATTTACAGCAGTCATCGCTCTCATTCTTTGTTCTTTTCTTGAAACACGACCTAAAAGACATGTTGAAGTAGATGAGGTAGAAATTTAGACTCTCTCTCTTCCACAGACCATGCCATTAATTCAGATAATCGATCAGACACTGTGACGGATACTTTAGGAATTCTCTCATGTGAAGGTGTGAATAACAGCTATATCTTGTTTCATATATTAATCCCACAAGAATTTTGTTAACAGCTTTGTTTTCTTATTTTATCTATTAGATCAGCGTGAATTTTTAATTGGTTTTGCATTAACTTCTAATGGTAGCATACGTGAAAAGCTTAAATATGTTTTTCGAACCTATGATCACGATAAAGATGGGGTAATTAATAAAAAAGAAATTGATCGAATGGTTAAGGTAAGTAAAAATTTGTTTTATTTCGTTTGTTTGTTTATTTAACTTTATTTCATTATAGATTGCGATGAGACTTCATGCAAAAGATGATCCAGAGAATACATCACGTATTATTGATGAATTAAAACGATCACTTGAACATCTTAATCAAGGTAAAGATCTCGATGATATAAAAATAACTTCAAAAGAATTCGTTCAATTATTAATGGAAAATAAAGAACTGTGCGAATTAGTATCACCGTTTAATATTGAACAACCACGAGAGGTTATTGTTCAACAGCCACATGCTCAGTCAAAATAGAATACGACTACAAGAGTGATATTTAATTAAACTATAAAAACAACTGATATATATATATACGTATCTATATATATACATGCTTTATCTTTTTTTTCTATTCATCTTTTATTCAAACTAATCATATGAGTGATCACATTTGCCGTACTCCTCGTTTTTTGATATATGCATTTCTGTGTGTACGTGTTGTCTTTTTCAGTCAAATTTCCTTTATATTCTCACACATTCGGATCGCAATGATAAGCAAAGGTAATTTTATCTTGTGAATAAACATTAATGAGAAAAACGAGCAACATATTTATATTCAAGCGATACGGAAAAAGAATTATGTAACATAATGTTTTGAAGTGATTTTTGCATTCATTTTTATGTATGTTTATTTGAATTAACGGAAATGAAAAAGTATAAAATGAAAATAAAAAGTACTACAATATAATCATGTTTATTTAATTGATAAGAACATGGTTAATTAATATATTTTAAGTTGATATTTGTTTGTAAATTGAAGCCAATCCATATCAAATTTGAAATTAAAATCTTGATACATTCAATGAATAGTTACTTTTTTTAGTTTAAATACAGAAATATCTAAAGATCATTAAGATTGAAAGTATCGCCTTACCGACTAGTTTCCACTTGGGATAACCCTATTTAAGCCAACCACCCCCATTTCTGTAAAAAAATCTATTTTCATCTCAGAACAACCGATCAAAATGAAAATTTTAGAACATGCTGATTTAGACCTAGGATCCTTACGGTAAAAATTTCAATCCAAAATATTGGGTGTTTCAAAATGCATTCCTATTGAAGAGTCAAAAAAGTATGTATCTGTATGTCCAAGATTTACTGTCAAAATAATTAAGTATTTAAATTAACACTGAATAGGAAAAAAATACAGGGACACGACTCCCCTTGCTCGATGGCTTTCAGTACTTTCTAATTATTTTACAAATTTTTGTTACATTCTCCACCATGGGTTATCTTAGAAAAAGTTAAAAAGGCAACAATAACTAACATTTTCAAAAAAACAACAGTTTTTCCTGATTTCAACATCATTAGTAAATCCGGTGTAAAACCATGAAAAAGCATCAGAATTCCAATAAGTCATACTGTTTCCAAAAGCAGATAATCACATAAAAATCTCGAAATTGAATTTTGTTGACAAAAATTGCAATCTTATTTATTGATTTTCATTGCTTTAATGATTGAGAAATATTAGCTTGAAAATCTGCAATTGACAAACTTCTAGTCATAATCAAAATAATAACTGTAAGTATTGAGCTCAACATTTCTTATCATCCGATAGAAGTCTTGGATTTTGTTGAATGGATTTATTATGATCACGAAAAGGCAACTAGCCACCACGAGCTAAGTTCGGTCTAAAGTACAAAGTTTTCACCATAATGATTTCGAGCTCATTTTCTGGGCTGTTGTGAACAGACCATCAGAAACTCTTAATAGTTAGTAGTTTCCAATTCATTCTTTGTATATAAAAACATTAAAAAAAAATTTATTCTATTAACACAGTTATGCAACTGCTATCATTATGCAACTGTAAAAATATCATGGTATTAAGTGACCTCAATATATGAAGTCTAGTATAAATACGTAATTTAGAGAACATTCTATATTCTTATCGCCAGCAGAATTCTATTAATAGTCGAGAAACTTTCAAGTTGTGTTAAATTTTAGTTTCAAATAAGAATAGATCAAACTTATTAATTCTTGTAAAAAAATCATATATTTATTAGAGAAATTAATGTGAAACGAATCATAGAAGTTATTCAATATCATTTGTTGTGACTGATTACTTGAAAAATTTTGAAAGAACTCTTCTGTCATTCTTAGTATTAGTGTATGTGTAACGTGACAGATAAACATAGAAGTTTTTACTATTGGAGACTGCCAGAGTTACATGAGTTTCACATTGTATGTTTTTGTTGAACTGTAATAATAAATTTGTTTCGAAAGAATTATTTGTTTAATTGATATTTTGAACCTTTGTCCCTCTTTCTTTAGTCACTAGAATGACCATTTTCAAAATGATTTCAGAGAATAACGGTAAACTTTGAAAACATGTCTTGTATTGAAAAATTAGTGTGTTTGAAAATCTCACCAAAATTGAAATTTCTTTAAATAAAATATTTGTCTATCAACAAACAAGATTTACTATGGAAATGTATTGGGTAATCTATAACAATGACAAGATCTATCACTGGTATCAATACCAGTCAAAAGTTCCTCAAAATTTAGGAGGATAAGATATAATAAACACGCAATAGTCACTACGGATTTTTCAGAAAATCAAACCTTTAGTTTTTTAGAGCCTGCAACTTGGCCGTAAGATTTGCTCATGTCACACAAAATGACAGAGCAAATCATTATTTAAAAAATAATTAGATATGATCCTACTGTCTACGAAACGTTTTTTCAGTTGAATTACATCAGATTTACGAAAGACCCCAGATAGAATTTTTATCAAATGGTTTCCCTCCAATGTTCACTAGAGTGTGCTTGATCATCTGTCCATGCTATCGATATATAGAAGGCACCAATATTCTATACTAGTGGTCGTTTCATCCGAGACTCTTCAAGAATCGGTATCGACTGTAGAGACTTATTTGTATTTCAAATATCTTTGGGCAAAAAGACTACAAATTTTTATGCATTCTCTTTCTCCCGTTGAACTATAATAACCTCGAATAGAAATAATACTTTTCATCCAAATGAATATTTTAACACAGACATTTAGATCTCTAAAGAAAAAACCAAATGTTTGAATGTTTTTCACATTTATTTCGGTTTCATGAAAACTATTTATGTTCAATATACAAAATCAAATAACGCCTGAGAATTGAAGTATATTCAGTTATAGATTGTCTGAATATCTATGTGTTTAATTCTAGAACAGTCGATGACACAGAGGTGCAGAATCTTCCAAAAATCCAAAAATTTCCCCCCACGCAAAATAGTTTTTTGAAAAATTTCCCCACTGTATTTTTTTTTGGCCAGCGGGTTTTTCCAAAATTTCCCTATTATTTGAGTTTTTCAAAAAATTTCCCTCCCCGCGCGGGGGCGCATGAGGAAGATTCTGCACCTCTGCGATGACATATGTCATATATCTTATTCTAATTCTTTCGAAATGTTCTACTGCAATATCGTTACATATCAAACTATTTCTTGTCGTTTACTGCATCAATCAAAATAATAAAAACCAAACAAACGCAATAATAAAAAGTTACAGACAATGGCCTTCATCTTATACTTCATGTCTCATGTTAAGTATAAATAACACATCAAAATAAGACGATTGTCTATATTTGTGGAATAATACACAAGAAAGCAATTCAATTGTCATTAGCACCTCGACGCATTCGACATCGATAACATAATAATGTGCCATCTGTTAATGGACAGCAACCGCCTAAAAGAGCTATCGTCTGCTCATCACTCAAACTAGATTGACAATCCTACAAATAAAAGATAAACAGAAATACTATAAAAATAATTTCCACTCAATAATACTTCACATCGATAACATTCAACATGAAAATTTTTATTCATAGCAATAACACGAATGGTTTCATAAGAACCCTATCAAATCAAAAAAAAGAGGAAATCTGCTTTTCTTTTTTTTGTTTCAAGAATGTTTCTCTTACGTCTTCTGGACAAATAGGATAAGCACATTTAGCACATCTAGGAGCATAAGTACTAAACAAATACAGTAAAAAAAAAATTAAAAACTTGATTAAAAAACAAAAACAAACTCTACTCTTACTTATGATAGTCATATAAACAAAGTATACGTCGTTCTTTATCAACAGTAAATGGAAGACCATCAAGACATTCATTACATATTGAACAACGAAAACAACCAGGATGATATGCATTGCCAAGTGCTTGAAGCATCTTAATTAAAAAAGAAAAAATTTGACAGTAAAAATTTTTTTTTGTTATATCATTAATAAAATACCTTATCCATAATAAGATGATCACAAATATGACATTTCTCTACCTTTTGTTGATAACCAGTAAACTAAAAATAAAAATTTTGAACGATTTCTTTCCTTCTTGTTTTTGACTAAGCGAAACATAAAATACGATAATCATTTTATTCCTAAAGTACTTATGATGAATATATAAATCAACAAAAATAGCATCTACCATCTGGAAAGTATATATATAATTACATACATTATTTATCTGCACTTACCAAATAATCTTCTTCACAATACACTTGATCATGTATACGATAAAATGCTTTGCCTCGTAATATTCTAGCACATACAACACATTTAAAACAGTTATTATGATAAAGTTCACCCATAGCTTGACAAGCATCAGATGAATCAGTTACTGGTTGACCACATTTTGTACATTGACCATAATATTCATCCACAGTTGCATCATTTTCTAATTCTTTTTCTAAACGTAATGTGAGTGCAGCTAGTTTTTGTTGAACATTATTCAAAGGACTATTAGTACGAGTTATTGGCGTCATTGTACTAAATGGTATTGGTGTTCGAGAAGGACGTATATCGGGCTTTTGAATAGTTACATGAGAAAAATCTTGTGTTCTATGAGAATGTTGTTGCTGATGATTTGCATGCGAATGACCATTGACCGTTAATTCAAATCGAGGTTTTGGTAACTGTAAAACTGCTTTTTGTTGATTAATGTAAAATCTATTAGAATTATGAAAGGAAGTTGGTGACGAAGTAGATTGTTCTTGTTTTCCATTCAGTGGAACGTAATTCATATCAGATTATGAATCGAAATTGATAATAATAATACAAAATTGATGAGTAATAAAATCGAAATGAATATCTGAATTTAAATTTGAATAAAAACTGAATATTTTACGTTTTTAGTCAATTTCGATCGTTAATAATACCTATTTGTTAGGAGCGGTATCATTTAATAGGCGTGTATACAACATAATTGTATGCCTGCGTGAGAATGTCGAAACGACTGACTTAAGCCACTTTTTTCTTTGCTATCTCTATTTCTCTCATTCTATCAGTACATCCAGGTCTATCGTATATTGTTGATCATCCAGGAGAAAGAAAAAATATCCTTAGTACTCCTACTATTTTTCTGCAGGCGTCATAACCTCTCAACACAAGTAAATCTTTGTCCATATCTATAGATAATTGTAGTAACGACTGATCCTTTTTCTTTCTTGTTCTTTTCTTTTTTCTGCACGTACTACAGAACTATTGTTGTTGATTCATGATTGATTGTGTCTCTCTCTCTTGCAGAATGAAAAAAATGCTTGGCTATGCAATAGTCGTTTTACGTATTTGGATGAAAAGGAAACAAACAAAGATTAATTTTCTTGGCGTTGTACATGTAACACTTAGTTACTAGCACAATTCTGTAAATTCCACATACAATTTAGGATAAAGTTTTATATATGAAAAGTACGATGAGATATTTTGTGTGAATATTCATTCTGCTCTCTCGTTAACAATTATTTGTTTATATTGAATTATATATTTTTTTTTGATGATACAAGTGCAAATCTAAATATGATTAATTAATATAAAACTGTAAGATTTTATTTATTATTGCTTTATTCAACAATCAGAAGAAGATACATGATATCAGTCAATAATAAAGCCAGATTTTTTTTTATATATTATTGTTGAATTTTTACGTCTCATAATAAATTTTTTTTTAAGACGTTTAGGGTTGACCGGACCATTTTCGTTACACACCTGTGCAGGATCATTTTTTCGAACGAACCGAACTTCACATATACCTAAAACTAATTCACAACCTGCTGGAGGAATATTTGGGCCAGCTTGTGTTCCAAATCTATTTAATACATTAAGATCAAATAGAAAAGATTACGATATATTACAAACACGATGACATACCCACAGCATTCTAATCCGTAGTCAGCACAGAGACAATCAAGACAATCAGGAAATGGTGAAGTCCAATTGGTATTAATTGCATATTTCTTACCGAAATATTCGCAATATTGATCGGTTATCTGATTGCCTAATATTTCGAATAAACTCGACATATTTATGAGAGAAATTTTTTTTTAAATTACCTGAAGTATTATTTGTTGGTGATGACTTGAGTGAATCATAATAACATGATCCATGTACGTGCAAAATACAAAGAAATAAGATAAATATCAGTCGATAAGCAAAAAGAGCCATGTGAATAAATGAATGGAATTCGTTAGGAATGATTTATTACGAGTACAGTCAACTGTCTTATTTATATCATTTTTTTTATTTTGAAACAATAGATCTTGGCAACATATGGTACCTACGTAACGATTGTTTATCTTTTGTTGTTTATAATCAGATATTCGAAGGGCAGATGTTATCTTTATATACTTGAATTTATTATTTTACAATACAATAGAAAAAATTATAAGTCAGATTGCAAAAATAATCAAATCAGAAAAGAAAAACAAAAATTGAACATATTTTATTTATATTTTTATTCTTTTATATATTCGATTCAATATCGTACCTACTAATTAGTAACAAGGTCATTCTATTATCTGTACGTCGCTCGCATATTTCCACAGACCTTGACTACAATTGTATATTTTACAATGCGGAACAGATTGTTTTTCCTATTTTGAAAGAAAAAAATCTTTTGAAGAATCAAAAGCAATATGTTAAGAAGATTTATCCCCTTCCTCTTCTTTTGATGTTAAAATCACAAGTTGGCAATGGTTAGTATGCCTTTGAAATGTTCTCTGCCAATTTTTGAAATACTTGGCAGAACAATTCAGACAACAACTATTCTTTGTTTGCAAAACTCTCCTAATGATAATGATTATTTCTCATTCAAAAGATCCCGATAGTGTAAGTTATGATCCTCTTACACCGCTGAACAAGATCATTTTTTTGTCCCCTTTAATTGAAGAAACATTGTCCTAACACATACAGGAAGGGTTGTTTTGCGTTTTTCTCAAAACCAATTTCTGAATCAAAATAACCGAAATTTTCTCCTACATACTGCGTCCAATGGGATTCGAATGTTTTGGGTACTATTGTCAAACTGAGGTGTGTATATTTATTTTTTCTTAAGAATGTTTTGCCTGAGAAATTCAGCAATCTTTCAAAAATTTGTACCATTTAAAAAACATGTTTTTCTTTGACGATGCTTTCCTTATTTTCCTTATTTTGAGTTTTATGAATGATATTTTGGAAAGAAAAAATATAGGCATCCTGATTTGATCCTCGTTGTCATAAAAAAATTGCAATGTGACAACATGACGTATGAAGTTTTAGAGAGGGAAGAGAATGAACTTCTGATCACTTTTGGCTTTTGCAACTCTCTTATTATTCCGAAGGAAGTATCTAGGAAACTTGAGTCTATGACAAGGTTTGCTCTACTTACTGAGATTTGTCTACCTCAAAACTTTTATAATTTTTCGTTAAGTCGTTTCCGAGAAATCCTGAGAAAGGGAGGGGACACCTCTTGAGCAGTTCGAATCATGAATAAAAATTTGCTCTTGGCAGATAAATTACATAATAACAAATTCAAGAAAAAGACAATAACACTTACTTTGAATTGATTGTTTGAGACAGAAATATCAAGTTATTGAATATGATTCAAGCTCTAAATATCTCATTGCATAATTCAGATCTAGCGACATATGCTTGGGTACTACTTATTTTATTTAAAATTTGGAGTGTACCTCACTTGATTTAGAAGTAGAACAAAGAAGAAACATGATTCAGTAAAGAAAAAACACCAGAAAGACATAATAGATCATTGAAGAGAACAAAAAATAGAGAAGAAGATGTTGGATCTAACACATGCTTCAACATAACAGCAAGAAAACAAAAGTAACAGACACTATTTGCTTAGGTGGAATCAAAAACGACTGGCATGCGTATACATACTATACAATTATGGATAAATTGACAAAGAAGAAGTTATGAAACTTATTAATAGTAGATAATGACAAAAGGGTGTCGGTTGTATGTATGCTAATGATTGTGCGGTATATATGTCTTATCGAAGTTATAAGTTCTATAAACATAATTCATAGAAGTTATAACTTCTATAAACATGCTAACTTCGATACGACATATATGTACCGACGCATTTCGGGTTCTCTTCGGTTAGAATGTCCTATTGACTAACTTATATTATAAATATTGAGTCCTTAGCTACAACACTGAAGCACTTTGTCAGATTCCTTCAAATGTTCATACAAAACTTCGATATTAGTCAAAGTTCTCTTAATAAAAAGATGATCGACTGATAAACATGGTTGTGTCATTTTCAGTGATTTTCCAAATAATTTAGTCCACGACCATATTTACAGTAATCAATCCATACCAGTACAGTCGATTTCAGGTTATGAGCAATGCTTTCATGAGTAAAAGGTTAATATATCTCATATTTTGGGTGCTTATGGAGAGAATTCGAGAGCTTTATAAAACGTTCGTTAATAATATATAAAATGTCAGCACTGCTATTGATTGCACTAGTTGACTATTTGTTCTGCAATTGGTTTGCTTCCCTTATTCGATCATAGCTGCGATCAAAATATGATTTTCTCGTCTCACTCTATTCACTTTTGTAAAGAAGTGTTAGACTAATGTTATATTCAACTCAAGCAAGGTCTTCATTATTTAGATCGTCGTGCATTTGTTCAAAATATTGTTGTGATTTATGATACTGCTTCATAAAGATTCATGGATTCCATTTTTGAAGAATGTATTTTGATGGTGGACTGAAGTTCGATGAAAATCATGCTTTTATTCATTCGAATACTTTAGAAATCGTAATATTTATTTGTTTGGATTTTGTTTAAACATGATTACCTTTGATTTGGAATCAGAATTTTTTGTTATTTCCGAACATTTATTCTAGAATTAGTCTTTTTCGTCCGCGATTCTATGATTTGTTATCAAAATATGGGCCAGAATTTCTTTTCATAAGTAATCTCATTTAACAGAGATTTAAGTAGAAAATGAAGGAGAATACATGTTCTTCTATTGGTGAGTTTCAAGTTTGGGATTTCAATTGGGAAAATATTTCGTTTGAACTATGTTGACTACATGTTGAAAAATTTTTAAATTTGAACACAATTAAATCTAGAGGAATCAATATTCTGAAAGACAATCAAAACCTGATTTGAAAGTGTTCTACATTGCTCTCGATCAAATGATGTTCCATGAATAATACTTAGGCACAGGCCAGCTGGTACGGAACGAAGGACAATTAATTTATTCCTGATATATCAATAAATAGCGACCACAATAATAACAGAGATACTAACGTTGGAAACAGTACTTTCGATAATCGAAATTATTCAAAGATTCTTTTGATTAAAACACACAGAATCTTTTGATGATTCGATAAAGAATGTGTTCTCGATCGATTGTTTTTTTTTTCATCTTCATCTCCAATCCTATTAGAGGTCTCCAGCATAATTAGCATGGATTCTATTGTTTATACAGAAAACATTTGATTAGGTTTTATATTGATCGTAAGTGTGACATTTTTTTTTCCAATTCTTCTTGCTAATAGTATATCAAGCGACTTTTAAAAACATATTGCTCTGTTTTCGGTTCTATCACAACAAATATAAAACTACTTGATAACTTCTTCAAGCCTCTAAAAAACCAATTTATCAAGATTTTTATCGAACATGAAACATCTCGAGATAGATATTGATAATATATCTGTTAGAGAACGCATTCTAATAGAGCTTTTGTCTGTACGCTCCCTATGGTCAAGTGCGTTCAGAGTGGGTGTGGGTGTAAATTTGGATAGCCTCTTCACACATCCAGGTTCTTAAGAGATGGACAAACGAAAAATGGAAGAAAAATTCTAGATCAGTACGAATGTTTACATTAAACTAGTCAAGTAATAATACAATGAGAAGACATCTTTCGAGATTTGATTTTCGGAACATTTACTATTCGAAGTCATATTTTATTTGACATTTTTTACTTCGAGATTTTGTTTTCTCGATACTTCGGAGTTCGAGAGTTTTATGTTCGAACTTTTTTGGACTTTGTCCCTTCGAATTTTTTTTTTCTAAGATTTCTTTAAAATTTTTTTCGAGTTTTTTCCAATAATTTGATTGAACATGATATTTGCATGATAGAATCTGCTAAAAAAAATTTAAAGCATCCGTGTCCTTGAATTATTAGAATATAAACCGTCGATTTTTACATACGTCAAGTTCTCTGAGTTGACAGATCGTTGATGGATTGAAGTTCATCTTAACGGATGAAAAATTATTAAAAGACTGATCGGGTTTCTATATCATTGTAATTTTCAAATCATCATATCAGTGCATTTTACTCTAAACTCAATTACGAAAGTACCAGCATAGAATGAAATAACACAGTAATGATTATAAATTTCAAAAAATGACCAAAACAGATTACATGACAACTTTTTTTTGTATTTCTGTGAATGTATTTATGAAGAGAAAAATAAATGTAGCCGTAGCGGTGAACACAAAAGTGCTAGTATATTTCATTTGAACTCCAAGTACAACATTTTATTTTACTTTTTAATCAATGTCTATTGAACTGATGAAAAGTTTTCATCGAACACTATCGATTTGCAACTGCTTTCGTGATTGAGATCTGTATTTTATGTGGATTGGAAAAAATGAATGCAAGCTTTTCTGCTCGTTTTTTTAACCTTCCTTCGAGCTTTACCCAATAGGAAAGCTTTATGGCATACATTTTTGTCATGTCTTTTTGATTTTTAAATCAATTTTATTCAGAATTATACATACAGGAAAAACAAACTCAATTAATGCCTATAGATGAAAGAAGCTATATAATATATTATTATGCGACAAAAATACACTGCTTAATGAATTCAAAGGAAATACTTTTCGAGGAGTCAAGAGATCTAAGAGAAATAAGCAACTTTTTTTAATTTCTTTTTTCTGACAATGAATTTAATTAACAAGTCTTTTTTCATAGATTAAATTATTCTATGGCGTGAGTAGTAATTATATTTAAAGGAGACGCAACTACAGATGCAACTCACTTGACAAATATGCTTATGAATATAGGCAAATTATTTAAGTTTTTTTTTGACTTTTGTACATATCTATTAGAATTGATGGAACAAGATTCTAGTCGACGAAATAAAGACAACTAATTAGTGCAACTTTTATGTAAGATGATTTAATAAGCTTCTATCCATTATTTTTATTCATCTATAAATGTTTCAACGTCACAAACAGAATATTACCTTCTATGATCTTTAGACTTGGTTTATCGATATAGGTAACTTTGTCGAAAGACTTTTGAGGAATCTTTGGAACTAGAAGTTTCAATACTATAACAGATAGAAAATAATTAGTAAAAGTGAGGGAGATCAATACTTCTACGAAACAATAAGTTTATGTTATGCCTTAAACTTCATTTCAAGGAAATGATATTTGATAATTTTATATTTGAGTCTATCGACAATAAGTTATTATTCTATCTATAGTGACTTTCTAATGTAGCTGACCATTGGGAAAGCTAGATATATGCTTCCAATGCAAACACTTTTTTTTTGTTTTTTTAATTATCGAATCAGAAAGTAATCAAAGAATTATTTATTACCTTTATTACTTTGAATGATCGCATATAGAGAACTCTATAAAGTATTTGACTTAATTTGCTAGTTGTATTTTACATAGAGATATGAGTAAGTAATCATTCTTTCTGTTAACATATATTGATGAAAAACATGACATCTTTTTCCAAAGGGAAAACAACGAAACCATGTTTGTTTTATTCATGAGATAGTATGATTACAATCACACAAATAGATGCAATGATTGTTGAAAACATTGAATGAACACTTGATCAAGCCATCCTCAAATAAAACAATACGACTATGGACTTTTTATTTTTATACATGACTATTACAATCTCACTTAATACACATATTTATTCACTACATTTTAAGGTTGAATACTAGTTGATAAGGGCCTTAAAGATAATAGATTGCTTTTGAAGGAACACTTTCCTTGTTCAATACAAGTTATTAAGACTAGAAAATTTTAAAATGATTTTACCTCAGAAAGTCTTTTCAGTTGAGTTTTGTTCTTATTTTATCGAAGTTAAAGTAGAAATTTGTAATTAGTCCGTTTTCGCCAACAATGGTTTTTGCCGACTTTAAAAACGCCGAATGGATTTATAACCGAAAATGAGTCTGAGTCAAGTATGATCTATTGTATATACAACATTCTATTAAAATCAATTATTTTATTACTAACTCGATTGGTAACTATCGGAACTGGCACAATATAAGTGTGGTTGTAGTTGTCAGTATGAAGAGGATAACACTCATACCCATATCCCAGAAATTTCCGCAACTCGTACCCATTCTACTTCTACAGACATTGACGGACACATCAGAAACAGCTCATCACAGTCATGAGGAACATCTTAGGAACGTCTAGCCTTCCTCTTTCTTCATCTGTATCACAGACTGTGATAGTTACCTTAGCAATACTCCTCTTCCTTCGCAATACAGATTGTGACATACCTTGTTCATATACGATCAAAGAACGTCAATCAATAATGTTCCATTAATATGTTCGAGCTACTTTCGCATTTTATCAGGGGATTAAATAAAATAATAGTGGAGAAATGTGTTTCAGAGTCGATAGAATAAAATAATCTTCTTGTAATTAGCACTTACGACTAAATAATGTTTCAGATTTTAATCCTGCAAGGATTGCACTAACGGGTTTTTTCTGTTCCTATTTAGCTTTCTTGAAACATTTTAAATGATGCGACGTTTCTCTCACTTTAAATTCAAGTGAAAATATCTTTTCTTTTAATGTAACAGACTCTCAATAAAATAATCATAATTTGAGCGAGAAAACCTATGAAGATAGTACATAGCGTTGAGACCGGCTTGTAAATCAATTTGATCATTTCTTGAAAACTACTATTTTCAATATTGGCGAGTTCATTTTATGATTACATTTATAACCATTCTGAACATTTTAATATAGTTTTTCTCCAAAATCGCGAAGTCAATTTATTGTGGGATCAATATTTGTTATATCTTCTACAATAAATAAACAAACATTAAACGAATTTTTTCAGATATTGATTTTTTTTTGAGAAAAACAAGGTCATAATGATCACTTTAATACTGACTATACTTGATCGTCTTATTCTTATCGCTGGAAAACATTTCAATGAAGGCACCATTCGATGGGAACCGATAAATCCCTTTATCAATTTCTCTACAGTTTCAATTACAACCACACAGAGGTATTCATGGGCGTATCTTACTATAAGCTGTGCAACAGATGTACCGATTTCAACTACTGGCCGAAGCAATGCAAATACTAATTTGACATGCACAGCTGATTGTTCCACTGATAGAGGCTATTCAATTAAACCAGTTAATATTTTAACCGACTGTATATCAGCTAGTTCGTCATTAGGTATGATGACAAGTGAACGATCAGTGAATATTACATTGTCAACTAATGCACATGTTTACTTATCATATATGAGAAGTGCTTGGGTAGGACTGAATTATCCACCCCAAAGTGGTCTTCAATGGTCAATGACAACTTTCATTGATCTTCGATTTCGAGATGATTGTTTCATTAATACTCCACCAGTAGCAAGCGTTGTTTCTCCACAATATGCTATTGTGAATACATCTACTCAGATTCGAATCCCCGCTTCCGATCCCAATGCAGCAGATGATGTACTTTGTCGATGGTCAATATACACGCCAGGAGTTAATCGACGAAGACGATCAATTGTAGACAAATATGGACAGTATGAATCTTTTGAACATCTCTACAAAAATTTGTTCATAGATACAGAAACTGTTCATACCAGGAAGAAAAGAGATGGAGATATCTGTGCTAACTGTGATAGGTCGTGTGCAAGATACTGTCCTTGCAGTTATTCTGCTTGTATCGGGACTACTTGTACTGGTTAAAGTTGTTCTACAAAGTACACGTGCTCTCCATTATCATATACTATCATATCGACTACTATAGAGACTCCTGGAGCAATAGCATCAACACTATCGTATGGCAGCCGACAAGCCATTGATGAATGTGGTGGGATTTATTATCCAAACAGTTTACCAAATGGTACGACGTTGTTCAATTGTACTCTGTCGTTCATAGGACTGGTGCCTGATACTTGGTATGCAGTTGCTGTTCAAGTAAGCCAATTATTTAAAAGCAAAACTTAACTCATTTCAAAAACTAGTTCAATCTATGAATATTCAACATGGAAATCATTGCTTCATCGTAAATGAGCCAATCATTATTTTGAAACCTTGTCCCAACCGACAAATCCTTCAGAACCTCTATCGAGTCAGAAATTCTTTTTTTATTATTTGAAATGGGATGTATAAATGAGACGCTTCAGCTCAAAATCAGTTTTGAACTAGAATCCTTCAAATCGCATGTCCATTTGAAGATACATTGTAGGTGTAGTAGTCAGAATATGATGAAATTGTCAGGCCGATACAATGATATTTTCCTGAGACATTCATCAAAGAATGTTCCCAAAAATAGTTCAAATTTGGTAACCTAAAATCGTTGGTGTGTCTCATTCTGTATATTTTATTTTTCTTTTCTTTGAAAGAGCACGTCAGACTACAGAATTTGAAAGAAGACTCTTTTTTAATATTCTTCCTTTTTTCTTGAAAGCTAACGGTGTCAAGTCAAATACCATGAAAAATTTTTAAGAAATTAACATCTTAACCATTTTCTGAGACTTTTTTTGGTGGCATTGGACTTATCGCTCTTTGTCTTCAACAAAAACGTAAGAATTTAAAAGAAACACTTCTTGCAGTCTTTGTTGCCTGACATACTGTTTCAAAGACAGAAAGTATTAAATATCTACAATGAAAGCACCCGAAGAGTTTTGCGTTGCTAATTTAACTATTTTTTAATCCTAAGTTGATGAATATCACATGAAAACAAGATGATATTGGCCTGAAAAGTTTATCATATACTTTCTATCACATCCCGAACATATCCTGAAAAATTATCATGCGGTTTGAATGTTGCTAACTCGAAATTGATTATAAGAGAAGAAGCACCTTGACTATGGACATTCCTTTTTAAATATATCTTTATCTGAATTTCAAACTGTATTATTCGATACTACATTACACTTGATCCAAAGGAATTAAAATTTGACGATCGCTCTAGAAGATGTTGTAGCATATCTACAAGAATTTTCTAAATAATTGGACATAGCAAATCTTTCATGAACTATTATTTTTAATGAAACAAGAGACGTAAAAGAGTTTAGAACGTTGATCAAATTGACTGACGAATCATTCAATTAGACTCACATGGGAGTTGCAAAGCAGAAGTTTCTCTGAATTGAAAAATAAAAAAATCATTAATTACTTTCTTTTTAAGAATTTGATATTTCAAGGTCAACTAAATTCTTTTCGATTATATATGTAGGTAGAAGATTTTATCAATGAATCAAGTAATACTCCAATGAGATCCGTACCAGTTCAATTTTTAATTTACGTTATGCCACAGCCATTCTGTCAGAAATCACCCGTTATTATGTCATTTGTGGATAGTACGGAAGTTCTTATTGGTATTCCGAAGAGCTTTAGTATCTATGCGATGACGATATGTGATCCAAACGATGTTGATATTGCAGAATTCGTCTTCACAAGTGGAATATATGCTATGGTAGTTGGAAATCTGATGAAATCAGCGTCAAATTCATCATTATCCTATGTAAATTTCACCTGGGCACCACAAACTAATCAAATTGGATTACAAGAATTGTGCATGATTGTCTTTGCTGAGTAAAGTTTTTGTTTTGCTACTCTTTGTCCTATGTATCATGTCTTTATTCGGTTAACTAGAGAACATGTACAATCAGCAGAGCATTGCATCACATTCAATGTAGTAACATCGCTTGCGCTTTGTGCGCCAACAACAACGACTACAACTACCACTGAATCTACCACAACAACGTAAGTAGTAACCGAAAACATTTCAATGTAATGAGAAAGTCGATTTAATAATAAACATTCTCAATCACTTTTCAAGTTTCCAATAATTATTGCATGTAGAAACGTGGACGCACACATTGCACAATTTTGTGAAAATCTCAAAAGTTCGTTTCAAAGGTCTGGATTTGAATGGAATTACAGAAATAATTGATATCAGTTGGAGAGTTTATTTTCGTTTGTTTTGTCGTTCTAAAAAGATGAAATGAAACTGTTTAATTTTATATTATAGGATTACAGTAACAACGACCAAACATCCAAGTAGGGCCTATGAACATGTGTCAACTATTTGCATGAAATCTAAACATGTGTTATGATCATCTTCCGATCACCGAAAATTTTCAGGATTGCTAAAGAACAAAACGTTTATCTTTTTGTCTATTGAAGCTACTCTGATCTTATGAATTAGCTTGACTTGTACACATGAGTTCGAAAGAATTAAAAGCTATACTGGATTAAGACAATAGAACAAATCCTTATGAATTTGAAGTTTTCAACAATTGAAGACAAGTTCAATTTAGATATCAGTCTTCTTTGCGAAAACTCGGCTCTTGTCATTTTGTTATTTTTCAACAAAAATAACATGTTCATTTAATCTTTTCTGAGACATTAAATTCGTATATAAATTACCATTTGTCAAATAGGAAATTCTATAAATTAGCTACTGATTTTGGGATTGTCATTATTGGTTCTACTGCTGGCTATATGTTGCTGTTGTTGTTGTTTATATCGTTTTCTTTGGTAAGTCTTGCCTGAAATAAATAAAACAAAAATATTCAACAGGACACTAAATCAAAATTCAACATACATCTTATCTATTCATAGGATACCTGCTGCACGACATCGTCCACGAAAGAAAAGAGACGATGGTACACAACAATACCAACATCTACTATCAAGTACGAAAAAATTGACATATGCCTGGCCAGAACTTGATCGAAGCTTCCACATAAGTAAACCAAATAAAAACTATCATGTCTATCATATACTCAATGATAATGACAGACCAAAAACTTCGTTCTCACTAACAAAAATAAATGAAAACATGCGAACAACAACTACTCCTCTAAAGAATGCAGATCATGTCAGTATGGTACGAAAAAGTAATACTCAATATCCACTTAATGTTAAAAATGCACCAAAGGAACAAACAACCGAGGATATGAATAACGTCAAACGAGCTGCTCAGCCTTCCACAGTGAAGGTTCAATACGTAACAAATGAATCAAACAAGAAACCAATACCGAAGCTATTCCTCTACAAGAGTTACGAGTTGCATCAATATCAACATTCACAAGTACTAATGTTACAGTCACTAAATTACCGCGCAGAAACACTGCTGGAAGTCAATTAAACAAAAGTATCGATGGTAAATTGCACGATCACGAGAAAAATCCACAAAACTTTAAGATACCTTCAACCACTAAAAGTGGTAATGTTGAAGTCATACATATCAATAATAGACAACCGAAAAGCAATTATCTTAATTCATCTATCAATCAACGATCACGATCATTAGGCATTAATAGTATTAACGTCCAGATGTTGAGAAGGTCAACTTTCAAAGTACAGCCAATCGTAACTCACCCTAAGCCTGATACGTTTTCGGCAAGTAACAAAATCAAAGTTTTTACTGAAGTAGCTGTGATCAAGCTTCCAAAAAAACCGTTCTCAATCGTCATAAATTTCCTGAATATTCATCGTTCGATTATTGCAACAGTTTTTACTATTTTGTTGAATTAACTTGAACTATATTCTTAGTCTTAAATACGAAAACTATTTTGATTATTGAGGTGAATTTATAATTTTCATTTTAACCATAATTAGGAATAAAATTCTTATACGTTAACCTATTTTTTACATACATTTTCTTATGTAAAATCATTTCTTTCATATTAATCACTATTGCATGATTGTTCTCATTTTTTTCATTTGTTTTTTTTTTAAATTAAAAACACATATGATGATAATAGAGATAGTTCTATGAATTTGCATGTCTATTACAACAATCAATATTAAAAACTACTCTTAATTATATGATGCAAATGTATATTGTCAACCAGTGTATTTTATCAAACTCGTCGTTACACACGTAAGAGACGTACACAACGCGCTACACTCTAAAAAAAAAAGGTACTCTTGGAAACCTATAGAGGGTTTCCGGGTTTGTCACTATATGAAACCCTTTATAGGTTTCCTGGAAAGGGTTTCCGAGCTCTCGGAAACGCTTCAACGCAATCAAAAAACCTCAGGGCCCAGAAACCCAGTTGAGGTTTCCGAGACTTGGAAAATCTTGTATAGGTTTTCCACAGCTACTTACAAAACGATTCACTGACCTATATCTCCCGCCTTATTCTAACACTTTAATCTATATCTATCCCATTAATCTAACCCCTTATTCTAACTCCTTAATCTATATATAGCCCCTTATTCTATCTCCTTAATCTATCACCTTAATCTAACTCCTTATTCTAATCCCTTAATCTATATATATCTCCTGAATCTATCACCTTAATCTAACCCCTTATTCTATCTCCTTAATCTATGACCTTAATCTATCCCCTTATTCTATCTCATTAATCTATATATATCCGCTTATTCTGTCCCCTTAATCTATCCCCTTATCCTATCCCTTTAATCTAACCCTTTATTCTATCCCCTTATTCTAACCCCTTATTCTATCCCCTTAATCTAACCCCTTAATCTAATCCTTAATCTATCCCCTTATTCTATCCGTTTAATCTGACCCCTTATTCTAATTCCTTAATCTATATATATCCCCTTATTCTATCCCTTAATCCAACCCTTATTCTATTCCTTAATCTATCCCTTAATCTAACTCTTATTCTATCCCTTTATTCTATGCTTTTAATCTAACCCCTTATTCTAAACTCTTATTCTAACTCCTTAAACTATACATATCTCCTTATTCTATCCCCTAAATCTAACCCTTATTCTATCCCCTTATTCTATTCCTTAATCTAACCCCTTAATCTCACCCCTTATTCTAACTCCTTAATCTATATATATCACCTTATCCTATCCCCTTAATCTATAACCTTAATCCAACCCCTTGTTTAACCCCTTATTCTATCCTCTTATTCTATCCCCTTATTGTATCCCCTTAATCTATCCCCTTATTTTATCCCTTAATCTAACCATTATTCTATCCCCTTATTCTATCCTTAATCTATCCCTTTATTCTAACCCTTTAACCTAACCCCTTATTCTAACACCTTAATCTATCACCTTAATCTAACGTCTTATTCTATCCCTTAATCTAACTCTTATTCTAGCCCTTGAATCTATCCCCTTATTCTATCCCTTTAATCTAACCCCTTATTGTATCCTTTAATCTAACCCTTATTCTATCCCTAAATCTGACCGCTGATTCTATTCTGTCAATCTAACTCCTTAATCTAACCGCTTATGCTAATCCCTGATCTATGCCCTTAATGTATATCTTTCCGCTTATTCTTAGCCCTTATTCTATTGCCTCATTGTAGCGCGTAATCTAAGTGCTTAATGTATATCTGTCCGCTGATTCTGTGGAATACATATATCCCCTTTATTTGGCTCCTTATTCTATATCTAATGCGTTATTGTATCCCGTTATTGTAACCCCTTATAGCATCGTGTTGGTGTAAGTCGGTAATCTATATGTGTCGAGTGATTGTAACTTCGTAATTTGACTCCTACATGTCGATTTGAGTTTGATATTTGTGAAGATGTGGCCGTAGTATAAATAGAGTGGAATAGCTCCTTAATGTAAACTCATGAATTTCGTCAAAGTTCTTGATTGTTCATGTCTGTTAAAGTGAGTGTCATGGAACTGGTGATAGTGTCGTAGTGTAGACGAATGTTATTTCCAGAGTCATATTGTCCGTTGTAGTCCTAATATTTTGAAATCTGTCTAGGAGTTAAACATGATGTGAGTCAAAATGGTAAATCTTTTGAAAGACGGAGAGATGAACTTAATGAGATCCCTCCAGTGTTCTCGTTGTTCAGATTCACGGTCATGAAGCCCCCTAAATTAGTGGAAGTTCGACATCTTCTAAATAGAATGTCATTTATTTCGTCTGAATTCTGGAGTCTTCATGTCTCGGAAAATAGATGTCGTTCTGTCAGTCTTATTGCTATAGTCTTTATGTCTTCGTGCGAAAGACTGAGTGAAAAAGTTAGTCTTAGTCCTGCTTTCTTTCTGTATATGAAAGTCATAATCACAAAGTCAGTCTTAGTCATCGAGTTTGTATGTTTTTTTGACTAAGAGTCGTAAAATCAGTCTTGTTTGTTAGAGTCTTGACATCTCTCAAAGCTATCGTCATGAAGTCAGTTAAAGATTTCAAGTCTTCATGTCTCTCAAAGCCAGTGCTAGGAAGTTAGTAATGTCATGAGATCTTATGTTCTGTCGAACTCAGAGTCATCAAGTCAAGGGAGTCCTATAGTGGTGAAAGTTTTTTGCGTATTGAAGTCAAAGTCTTTAATGCAGTCTGACTTCTGGTTTCCGTATTGGTGTCGAAGGCAGAATGTTGGTGTCTTTAGTTTTGTTACCGGTGAACTGCAGTTTTCGTGTTCGCTTTTTTCGGATTATTAACCGGATCAGTTGGAAAAACTGCATCTTGCGGTGTGAAGAAATACATATCTACCGTTTTTCTTAGAAAGCTTCCAAGATATTTTATTTTGTTTGTCTTCAAACAGACGACTCATGAAAACATCAACTTATTTTTGAAACGATAGCTCATGGCATTCTCTCTAATAGGGTGAACGCAGAAATTCTTGTGACTTGTGCTAATAGAT